CTTCCCGCCCAGGCTCTGCTATTGAAAGTGTGAAAGACGATCACGAGAAACCAGAAACCCTAACGGACGACAAGTCTGGAGAGCCTTCCAGGAGAGAATCAGTTGCAGAAAGCAATAAGCCCGAGAGTTTGTCTGTCTCCAAAGAACCTTCACGACCAGGCTCTGCTGTTGACATTGTGAAGGATGAGCTTGAGAAGCCAGATAGTGCTAAAGACGAAATATCTTCAGAGCCTTCGAGGCGAGAATCCGCTGCGGAAAGTATTAAGCCCGACAGCTTGAAAGATGATAAGTCTCTGCCAGTCTCCAAAGAACCTTCACGCCCAGGCTCTGTTGTTGAAAGTGTGAAAGACGACCACGAGAAACCAGAAAGTGTTAAGGACGAAAAGTCTGGAGAGCCTTCCAGGAGAGAATCCGTTGCGGAGAGTATTAAGTCTCTACCAGTTTCAAAAGAAGCATCACGACCAGGTTCAGTTGCCGATGGCGTCAAGGATGAGCAAGATAAGGCAGACGATAAGTCTGCTGAGCCTTCGAGGCGAGAGTCCGTTGCTGAGAGCATAAAGCCTGAGAGCTCGAAGGATGAAAAGTCGCAGCCTGTCTCCAAAGAAGCATCACGTCCAGGCTCAGCTGTTGAAAGCTTAAAAGACGAGCATGAGAAACCAGAAAGTGTTAAGGATGAAAAGTCTGGAGAGCCTTCCAGGAGAGAATCAGTTGCAGAAAGTATTAAGCCCGAGAGTTTGCCTGTCTCCAAAGAACCATCACCACCAGGCTCTGCTCTTGAAAGTGTGAAGGATGAGCTTAAAAAACCAGAAAGTATTAAGGACGAAAAGTCTGCAGAGCCTTCTAGGAGAGAATCAGTTGCAGAAAGCATTAAACCTGAGAGTTTGAAGGACGACAAATCCTTGCCTGCCTCTAAAGAGCCATCAAGACCTGACTCTGTCGCAGAAAGTGTGAAAGACGAGCATGAAACGGCAGAGCTTTCCAGGAGGGAATCCGTTGTTGAGAGCATAAAGCCCTACAGTTTTAAAGATGACAAGTCCCTTCCTGCTTCCAAGGAACCCACACGTCCGGGTTCGGTAGTAGATATTATTAAAGATGATCATGAAGAGACCAAGGAAGTATCACGTCCCGAAAGTGTACAGCATGAAATAAGTTTATCTAAGGAATTCTCTGCGCAAGACTCGGTAGCTGAAACTGCTTCTTCGCCGATAGATGAAGCTAAAGACTTCGTACTCTCGGATAATGAAAAGAAAAATACTTTAATCTTAAATTTGGACTCAAAGGGTGATTATCCAACACTTTCGAGCCCTATTGATGTTGCTGAAGGTGACTTCCCAGTGACAACTTCCATGGCACCAAAGTTAGCAGAGTCTGGAGATCAAAAGACGTCAAAGCCTGTCTCAATTGGCGAAACTGTATCTTCACCAATTGATGAAGCAAAAGATTTTATACTATCCGAGGGTATAATAAAAAAAGAGACATTTGTTCTAGCTATGGAATCAAAGAGCGACTTTCCAACCCTCTCAAGTCCCATTGATGTTGCTGAGGGTGACTTCTCAGTGTCAACATCTAAGCCAGTTGATGAACAAATCCCAGATGAGTCACCCAAGGAATCTGTACACGAATCTTTAGCTGAAAGTCCAAAGGCAGATGATATTACTAAATCGACTGTCGAAAAACCAGAAAGTGACAAAGACAAGAAGTCAGATACCTCTTCCCGAAGTGGATCTATTGTCGAGAGCACAAAAGTTGAGTCTCTACCGCTTACCTCAAAGGAACCATCGCGTCCAGCATCAGTAACTGAAAGTGTGAAGTCAAAGGAATCTTCCCGTCCAACTTCAGTCGCGGAAACCGCATCGTCACCAATTGATGAAGCATCAAAAGAACCTCTTTCATTAATATTGACATCTACTGAAATGAATGCAAACTATCCAACTGTGTCCAGTCCAGTTGATATTGCTGAAGGCGAGTTTTCGCACACAACATCGGGAGCAATGGAAATAGAAAAGCCTGCCGAGCACGCTACTGTCGGGGCGATACTAACGGCGTCCAGCCCAGTCGATGTGGCCGATAATATTTTAGAATCGTTTACGACTTTTGAAGAACATATCATTCAACAAACAAGCCAACCTGAATCTGATGCCATCAGTTCGAGCAAAGGTACACTGGAATCGCTAACTGATACGCTGAGTAAAAAAGCCGAAACTGTAATTGATGCAGTGAGCCAGAAACTAGAAAGTACTAAGGAGCTAATAGCAGAGTCACTGGAGGGATCTAAAACAGAAACTAAAACCGAAGAACAAGTGACAGAAGATTCAACCGCCAAGGGTAACCTAGACTTGAGTGTTTTTTCAGAGCTTCGCGAAACGCATATTACCACAGTTGATTCACCCGAATTTACTGTAACCATATGCGAACGCGACGAGAGTATTTTGCACGATATCAAGGAAGAGGATGAAGAGCACAGATTCTCGCCACCTACTGAAAAGGGAGCCATTATACCAGAGCAACCGATGCGTCCCCTCTCGCCGCGAGAAGAAGAAGTTGCCAAAATTGTCGCCGATGTAGCCAAGGTATTAAAGTCCGACAAGGATATTACTGACATTATACCAGGATTCAATGAGAAGCAATTGGAAGAAAAACTAAAAACAACTGCTGAGCCTGAAACTGATCCCACAGATGATCTGAAAACAATCACACCTGAATCTCTTTCGAGAAAATTGAGTGCAGCAAAGGACCTATCGTTGGATGAAAAGATATTGGATATTAAAATGATGAAGGTAGATATTGAGTCTGAAAAGTCATCACCAGATCAAAAGTCTGGGCCAATTTCAATTGAAGAGAAGGACAAAATTGAACAGTCTGAGAAGGCTCAGCTCCGAGAAGGAGCTGCCAAAATGGCTGATATTGAATCGGCCAAGGATATTTCCAGGCCGGAGTCCGTAACAAGCCAGCTGGGAGCAATAGAGTCCTTAACATCCCGAACAGAGTCGATAACAAGCCAAAAAGAAGAAAAGCTGGAAGAATCCATAATTCTCTCAAGAGAAGCATCACGACCCGAATCAGTGGCCAGTTTGAAAGAGGAAGTCGATCAAAAGCATGAAAAATCCCCGCCACTATCTAAGGATGTTTCCAGACACGAGTCAATTGTAAGCCACGTTAGTGAGAAGGAAAGTGTCAGTGTAGAGTCGCATTCCAGGCGTGAGTCAGAAATGTCTGTTTTTGAAAGCGTGAAAGGAGATGAATCGGTCACAGCTAGCAAGGATGCAACTCGTCCAGGATCGGCAGCCAGCCACGTCAGCGAACAGTCATCAGAGACAAAGAAAAGCCCCCAGCCGGAATCGAAAGACAAAGAGCCTGAATCTTCCCGGCCAGCATCAAGTGCCAGCCATATCAGTGCCAAGGATGAACAGACTTCAGAGTCCCAACGCGATTCAGTGTTGATATCGACACTCGAAACCAAAAAGGAGGAAAAATCTAGCGAATCAACAACAACATCAAAGACAGTTATAAGTCAATCTCACTTAAAAGAAGAATCTATTAGCGAATCCTTATGTAGCAGCATGAAGGCTGAGGACAGTTCACGGCGCGAGTCATTGTCCAGTCTACTGACTGACAAGGAAATCACAAAATTGGTTACCTCTAGCGTTAAGGAAGATACTGAACATGTTACAAAAATAACGGAAAAAACGACAACATCCCAAATGGAGGAGCTACTCATTCAGTCCGAAGAGTGTTCATCCGAGTCCATAGTCAGCGAAATTCAAACTACGAGCAGCCAGAAGCCAACTAGTGTAACCTCAACTAAGGAAATCACAAGTACAACTGTTCAGGAATCAGTAAAGGACAGTCTCAAGGAAACGGTAGCTGAATTTTTGGCAACTGAGAAAATTGTTTCTGCCAAGGAAACCTTCAGCGCTGAAGCTACCAAAACCGCTGATGACTGTCTGAAGATGATCTCCAGTGAGATCACCTCACAGAAGCCGTTGTTTGTTGGCACAGATGAGTCACGGCGTGAGTCGATGCTTAGCCAGACAAGCGAGGGTCGACAAACCCACAGCGACGTTGAGGAGGACAGCGACGATGACAGACATGCCGGTCTAAAGGAAAGTCGCTCCAAGTCCATTGCCACCATCATGATGACCAGCATCTATAAGCCCTCCGAGGAGCTTGACACGATTGGAGCGATCAAAGAAGAGGAGACTAAGGAAGAGGACGAACATGAGGCATCCAAAGAGACAAAAACCACTTCCTCCACAGACACAACCACTAAGACAACCACATTGCTGCAATCCTCTGAACAGAGCAGCAGCAGCACCACTACCACAACTAAATCAACCGACTCGAAAACCAAAGTAGAGTCCATAACACTATTACAGACACAAACACAAGCTGAGCAAACAATGGACGGCACAGATCGCAAAACGCCGCCAACGGCACCGGTCAGTCCCAGTGTTAAGCCAGTAAGCACCTCAAGCACCGCGGCCACCAGCTCTAGCTGTGCCAAGAGTGAGTCTAGCGCTGCCAGCGTTGCATCAACATCGGGCCCATTGTCGCCCAAAGATATTAGTGGTAAGTCTAGTCCTGGTGCTTTAACATCTGAAAGTCAATCCATACCAACACCGCTAGGGCGTGAATCACACACCGAGACGCCAGAGTCATCACCTAAACCAACATCTCCATTCCCGCGTGTCAGCAAAGACGAGCTTAGGTCCCTAGGTGTAGTGGAGGAGCCCGATTCAGCCGACCTTGGTGTCGATTCCAGCGAGCTGCTGCCCGAACTGCACGAGCTGCGTGGCATTGAGAGCACCACAGCGCTGAGCGGCAGCACCGAAAAGATTATCACGACAACCATAACCACAGTCACCAAGGTCATCTCCGCGGATGGCAAGGAGATTGTGACCGAGCAAAAGACAGTTACCACAACCGATAGCTCTGAGCCAGATAGCGAGAAGGTCGTGGTAACCACAACGCGCACCACCAGCGAGAGCGAGAAGAGCGAGCGTGAGCGCGATCAAATGCTACCCAAGGAGGTGGCTATGCTGCGCGGCATTTATCGCTCCAGCACGCCCGGCAGCGATGATGAGCGTCTGGCCGGCGCTTTGAGCGACGATGACCTGCCAGGCACACCACGCAGCACTAGCTATGATCTGCAGCGCTCCAGCTCTGGGGTGAGCAAGCGCTCGGATCTAGATGGCGAGGACAGCCAAGATGATATACCGCCTCAATACGGCAGCGAAGAGCATTCCACTGCGCGCGCCATTCTGCCACCCCGCACAGCGGATCCCATGGCAACCTCGTTCTACGGCGCACTTCCCGATAGTTTTGATGGCAAGCCCAGCACAGAGCCCATACCGATACGGGGTGCCGTGCTGATGACCTACACAGACTCACCGCCAGCCAGTCAATCGTCGGAGAGTGTGGAGAGCACCAGCCAAACCTGGGCCGGACATAAGTTCCTGGATGAGGCTGACAAGGATTTCCAGAAGGCACTCGAGGAGCATGTGCAGGCGCGTGGCGCCGAGGTGATGTCTTCCGTGACCGCCAAGTACTCCTACTCGCCTTCCAAGGCCGAAGAGGTCGAGCAAATTGTCAGCAGCACTGCCGAGCGACAACGTTTCCCTCTCAGTGATGTCCACAAGGTGCGCAGCGGCGACAATCTCTTGGCTAGTTTTGGCACCCTAAGTCCAGCTGGTGGAAGCCAGCAAGCAGCAAGCACTGCAACCACCACTGGCGCTGAAAGCAGCCAAACAGCTGCCACACCGTCAACAGCAACAACTGCAGCAACAACAGCAGCAACAACTGCAGCAACAACAACAGCAACAACAACAGCTAGCACAAGCAGCACTACCGGCACTCTGCCAAAGGATCGACTTGAGGAATGGGGCAAACCACTCGGCCTACCCTCGCCAGCACCATTGCCGGTCGAAGGCGCCGATATTCGCACCACACCCAAGAAGGAGCGTCGTTTGGTCGCAACCAAGACGCGACTGAACAATGAGAAGAACCTGCGCAAGCGTAGCGAGTCACCCAACAAAGCTAAGAAGCCCGCACCAGTGTATGTGGATCTTACCTATGTGCCGCACAACGGCAACTCCTACTATGCGCACGTGGACTTCTTCAAGCGCGTCCGTGCTCGCTACTACGTCTTCTCCGGCACTGAGCCTAGCCGTCAGGTCTACGATGCCCTGCTGGAGGCCAAGCAAACCTGGGAAGACAAAGAGCTAGGTAAGTACCGCCAGAGAGCCAGCGACGAGGCACACCATTAACACTTACTATGCTTTGCAGAAGTTACCATTATACCGACGTATGACACTGACGTGCTGGGCTACTGGGTGGCCGAGAATGAGGAGCTGCTTGCCAAGCACCGCATCGATCTGTCGCCATCCGCTTCGCGCTGCACAATTAACTTGCAGGATCATGAGACCTCGTGCTCCGCATATCGCTTAGAGTTCTAGGCCACGGGCTTGTTTATTGCATTTGACGATGACGACTAAACGAGTTAAATAGAAGCAAAACCACAAACTTTCACTTCCACACATAGATAGAGATTTGAGTGCGGCCCCTCTCTCTCACTCTCTTTCTCTCTCTCTCTCTCTCGTAAACCTAACAACAGCAAAATAATAAACAGAACACACACACACACATCAAAATGACGACTTCCAATTTTGAGCTTAACGATGACGACTAAAAAAAAATCAAACTAAAAACAACGAACATGACAACAAAGAAGCATAAGCTTGACAACAACAACAACAACAACAACAACAACAAAATGCAATATACAAAATGCCGTGCGCCAAAGAGGAACAACAACTTTGGAACCTATGATCGAACAAAAGCTGAATATGGCGGAGTAACGGGTCACTTGGATGACGCCATTTTGTTTAGCCAATGCCGTCTATTCGCGCTTTTTGTTGCTTTCGTTTTCCAAGTGCAGCAAAAGAAGGTAATTAATAGATATTAATTTTCAAACAAATTAATTACCAAAATAAATGCAAAACAAGCAAAAAAAAAAAATATATATATAAAAAAAAAATCAAGCGCTACGTGCCAGAAACAAATTATAATGATGAATATCGTAAAGTCCTATACCGATATATAGAGTGTTTATTGTATTTGTTGCTTTCATTAAACGTCAAGCTACCTTGCATAGTAATCCAATGATCAAAAATGTTTTCAAAACCGCTTAGCAAAAATATACAAAAACCAAAAATAATTATACAAAAATTAAAAAAACATTAAAAATCCAAAAAAAAAAAGGTTACAAAATGCTAAGTATATTACAAATATTATTCATGTTTCTTGTATTAGTAAAACTTTTATGAAAGAAGAAAAAAAAAAACAACTATTGAGATATCTCATATATTTGAATTTTAAATAAAAATATATATACAAGAAAACATATATATGTATGTATATGTGTATGTGCCGCAAGAAGGCGAAAGCGAAATCATATTCTACTACTACTAGTATTTATATAGCTCTAAAGATACAACACACAGACACAAACACAAACACAAACACACACACGCATAACACAGAATGTACCATGCAATGAAAATGTGTTTTTTTTTCCACAAAATAATATGAAATAATGCACAGCAAAATGTTAAAATAAAAAGGTTCTAATTAACTAAATCAAATGAATTTAATACGAATATGAATACAAAGAAGATGAAAACGTATACAAAATATATATAAATTAAAGAAAAACTCTAATCGAACAGCTACGAACCAAGCATAATGAATAATACGAAACCTTAGATAAATGTGCCTCCCCGAAATGAACAAACAAATGAACAATACAAAGGTCTTAAAATATGATATATCATATAACATATATATGTATAAATATTTATATAAATGGAATACTGGAAATGTCAACCAACACTTGACACTGGATTATATTATTTGATTATAATATTTCCATTTTTCACATTTTACATTTTGAGTTGATGTTTTGTTCTGGCAGCCGGGCAGCAGAAAGACTTACCTAATAGAAATACAAAATACAAATGGTCGAAAATGAGATATACATGGACATGTTCATATATAATCCAAACTATAGATCATACGTACACTTATATAGAACAGGATATAATCATACCAAAAGTCTGGCAGAAATATCGATTGAGGTGGAAGCGTCGCATTGTTGGGCTAGATCCGGGTCTGTGTCTGTGGTACAAATTGGAAGTCATATGGGTTCGATATACATATATGTATAATATATAGGCTCTATTCTGATGTCAATGTGTGTGGGGAGATTGACAAATGCTGATTGCTGTTGTTGGTGATAAGGTTGATGATGATGATGATGATGATGATGCGATGGTGTTAATGCTGATATATATTACTATGTAAGGTTTACGAGGGAGGGTCTGATTGGGTCTGATTAGCATGGGAGCTTGGGGGTAGGGTGACATTAAACCAGATATTGTGAAACAAAACTAAATGATGAACGCTAAATGAATGAAGGTTATTTTTCTATATTTTTTTTACTTTTTCATAGTCATAGAATAAAAAATTTCAAAAAATATAAAAAACAAAAAAAAAACCAAAAAAATACAAACAAAACAATTAAAAACCTAAACAAAAACCCTTTAAAACATAAACACAAATTAATAGCAACAAATAAAAAGGAAAAACCAACAAGGCACACGCAATATTACAGAAAATATAAAAAATTCAATGCAAATTTTTGAGGCCACTGCAAGAAATTTACAAAGTCAAATAAAAAAGAAAATAGTCCAAAAGAATAAAGATAAAAAATTGAATAAACATTTTTGATTGAATTACAAATTGATATTTGACATACAGACTTTTTAAGATATACATACATATATAAAGCCGATTTTTAAAGAACGCAAGCGTAACGTAAATAATTCAATAATATATATATATATATACATATGTATAAATTGAATTGCTTTTTATATACAACAACAAAAAGAACAACAACAACAACAACAACCAGGCGCAACAGTCGACAAACAACTGGCTACCGTCCAGTCTACAAAACTTTGATAAGCAGGAAGAAGAAGAAGCAAAAATGAAAAACAAAACAAATTTAAAATTAACAAAACAATTTATAATCTAAACTACACTTACATATATACAAACCACTTAAGCAATTAGTAAATAATATTTTTCAAAAGATCCAAAAACGCGCATGTGATAGTTTCTTTAATTTTATTTATTAATTTTGGAAACTTTTTCTTTTTTTTTTTTTTTGGTGCCTAATTAAAATTTAATTTGCGACATAAAAATAGTCAACATGTTTATGTATGTATGTATATGATATAAAGTGATAAAAATAATAAAAGCGAAATAAATAAATGGAAATTATTTTATGACTACTAGCAAACAGCTTTAGACAGGGATTTACAAATTATAAACAAAATTTTAAAAAATAAAATGAATATATGACATATAATTGAAGAGGCATTGAAAAGTTATAAACAAAGTCAATGGTACAAGCACCATAAAAACTTATTTTATAAATAATTACAAACTATAATACAAAATAAAAAAGACATTTAAGTTAAAACCAAAAAAGAAGAAAAAAAAAAACAAAGAAGAAGAAGAAGAAACTTATACTATTCGATTGAAGAACTAATCAATTTTTTTTTTATATATATATAAATTTTATGAGTAAGGAAATTTAACACTTTATATATTAACAATTGATTTTCTCAAAAGAGAACCAAATCCGACACCGAGTACCCGAAGCATAAGTCGGTAGATCCGGTATGTTTATGGAACTCTGATATTATTTCATATTTGGTTTTCATGTGCGAATATACGAGTACAGACATATAAGTGTGTAACCCCAAAAGGCTATTACAATACTCTATGTCTGAAGCAAAAATTTTTGTATTATTTTCCAATAAAATTTTTGCGCTTAAACCAAATTTAAGCATATTGAAAACGAATATATAAAAAACACTTATAGACATATACTATATATGTACACACACACTCACACACACATAATATATATATATATAAATAAATATATATATATATATTTGAAAAATGCATAAACAACCTATATACACTATATACTTGAATGTATGGATGTTTGCTTATAAGCTCAAAGTAAATAATTTTCTAAAGCCCCCACACAAGTTGAGTTGAGGAAGGACGAGCGAAAGCTCTGAGGCAGCTTCCCAGCCAACTCAAAAACAGAAACAAAAGTTAAATTTATCTGTGTTGAATTATATTGCAAATGTTTTTTAAATGTTTGTTGTTAATTTTGTTTGTCAGCTGAGAAATCAGTTCAGTATATATCTATTATGTATCCATTGCCTTATCCAAAGAACAAAGCGTATTAACGTATTAACTTTATATATACATACATATATACAAGATTATGAGTGTATACCCCATAAACAAGGAAAGATAATGACGAATTTGTTTGTTAAATTTGCTATATGAATTTGCTTTAACCTATTAGCAGCTTCTATTTAAATCAAATATACTTCAATTTACATGCGTGCATACATACACATATATGCATATGCATATGTGTGGGTGTATCTATTATATTTGACTACTATATAATCATTAGTAAAAAAAAAAACCTGCAGAAAATTGTTGAAAAAAAAAAATATATATATATATACTATGAAAAAAGCGAAAATCCGAAAAAAAAAAACAAAGAAAAACGCAAAGTAAATTATTCTATATATCGCTACAGTGGGTTCTATTCGATATAGAAATTATAAAAACACACACACAGACACACATACACATAGACAGGTAAATAGGGCATCGGATCAGATCAGATGAAGTGCGTGCACAAAACAGAAGAAGAAGAAGACGGTTCTTAAATGTAGAATGGAAGAGAGATAGCGCAGTGAAAGCAAGCACAAAGAAAGTGTTTAAAAAAGAAAGACAGACACAAGCACACACAGTAAACACCCACACAAAAGAACAGCCGTAATTGAAATCGAAAATGGAAATTACAAAGAGAATCCCAAAAAGAAAACCACAAGAAACAAAAAATGAATAAATAAATAATTAAATGCATATATGTATTACATTTTATGAAAAAGTCAAATCAAGCTTATCTCAAGAACTATTTCCAAAGAAAAACAAATCTAAAAATTATAATAAAGGTATTTATGTGAAACTTCAATGTGTTTTATTTCAAACTGCAGTTGGACTGAGCGGGAACATTGAGAACTATAAATATTAGTGATGTACTCGCATTCAATACATTTATACAGTTGTATATACATTTATACCCATGGGTGAATGTAGTTATATCATGATTATAACTAGATCTAGCTTGACTCAACAAAATCATTAGGGACTATCTACATGAAGAATGGATCCTAATTTCGGCTGATGCCAGAGATCGATGTGTAAGCCGAATCCAGTATAATTAAATCCACTATATTAAACATACTATGTTATATTTAGTGAACATAAGGCCTTCAAAATCGTCTAGGGATAGAGTTTAGATATAGATTTTGGAGTTTAGGGAGTAAAGCTCAGGATAGAGAGCACAAAAAAAGTCGAATAAAAAACAATTTACTTATTTACTAAATATATATTTATTATTTAAGTATATAATTAATAATAATATAATTTACTTATATATTAAATATATATTTATTATATAAGTATATATACGTAGTTCAATTATATATTTTACATTATATTTCTTCATCATAAATGCCAATCTTAATATCTACCCTATTGTTTTCCTAAGTTCCAATCGAGTTCAAGGATAGAGCCCAAAGAAAGCTCAAGGACAGCTCTCTTATATCCGCATGCTTTTTAGGCGTAAACCCAAATGAGTCCTTATAGCGCCCTTTCCCTTTAGCAAAGGTACCTGGCCACAGACGTCCCGACTTCGCTCGGCATAAATATTTAATCAACCCTGAGCGTCAGCAAGACGCATGTGGCTCACCTTTTTATCTGCCAAATGTGATATACATATGTTGCGGGGTCAGTTGGCCATTTAGCTCGTTGACATTGAAATGCGTTAATTTATATTGATAATGATTGATGAGGGCGCGGACAGCTGGCCAAGCAGCCGGCCTGCTGGTCACTCGAGCACTTTTCCGTCCACTGCTCAAGTGGGCCTCAGTCTACGCAGGGAGTTAGGTTGCAGGATGGCAATGGAACTAGTCTCGCGGCCAGCATAGTAGAGAGTGTTGAGCAGATTTCGGCATTGGCTATAAAGAAATAAAGAGTTAATAAGCATAAAATTGCAATTAGTTGTGATTAGATAAGCGCATTCCTTATCTCACGTATATATATAGACCCACATATATGTGAGCCGCTGTCGGCCCAAAGCGAGTCAATAGTTCGCCATGGACATTGCCGATGCACTGGCGCCTCTGCAACGAGTTTGCCAACTGTGCTGCCTGTGCTATTGGCGCCGGGATAGTGCCGCACGGCAGCAGAAACGTTCGCGCTGGCTGCTGCTCTACGGCTGGGTCGTGCTGCTCCTGTCCATCGGGTACTTGCTGTACGGGCTGCTCGATGCCAGTCGCAATGTCGAGGCCAATGGCGTGGGCACGGAGGCCACGCACATTGGGCATACGGTGGACTCGATACAGCTGGTTGGCATCCGGGTGGCGCATGCCACCGCCCTGCTGGAGGAGCTCTGGCAGTGGCAAGCGCAGAGTCAATTTGTGGCGCAGCTGCGCCAGATCGATCTGGATTTTGTCAATTTGCTGCAGCTGGACGTGAACAATGGCCAACTGCGCCGTCAGATGGGCCGGCGGGCGCTCTATATGCTGTCCGGCTATGTGGTTAGCCAGGGCTTCATATTGTTCGCTAAAATGCTATCGGTGGACATCTCGTTCATGGTCTATTGGCTGAGCTACTTGCTGCCGCTGCTGGTCTGCGGCCTGCGCTACTTTCAGATCTACACGTTCATCCTGATTGTGCAGCAGCGCCTGGAGCTCCTGCTGAGCATGCTCGACTCGCTGCAGCTGCACGAGGCGTTGCCGGAGAAGCCATATATCTGTAACACCATCAACGAGAAGCTGGACATGGAGACGGAGGCGGCGGCGGCGGCGGCCTGCATGCAGCGTCTGCTGGCTGCCCGGAAACTGTATCAGAGCCTGTGGATGTTGGTCGCCCTGCTGAATCGCTGCTACGGTCTGTCCATGCTGGTCAACTTGGGCAACGACTTTCTGTCCATCACCTCGAACTGCTATTGGATATTCCTCAACTTTCGCCAGTTCGCCGCCTCGCCCTACGACTTCATGCAGATCGTGGGCAGCGCCCTCTGGACCGCACCGCACATGAGCAACGTTCTCATCCTGGCACTGCTATGCGAACGTGTCTCCTATTGCGTGAGTAGATGAACGGGCTCAAGAGAACGTGCTTGACGTACCCCTCTCTCTCTCTCTCTCTCTCTCTCTCTCTCTCTCTCTCTCCTTGCAGACAACGCGCTTGGCCTTGAGTCTGCACCATATTCGCACGGATCTTCAGAAGGATGCACACAACGCTCTAGTGAGTCGATTCGGTTTCGAACTTGTCTTGCAGTCTGTCTATGTCTGTCTTCACCTATGTCTGCTTCACAGATCACTCAGTTCTCGCTGCAGCTGCTGCACCAGCGTCTGCACTTCAGCGCTGCGGGCTTCTTCGATGTCAACTGCACGTTGCTCTACACGGTGAGTGGGCGTGGCTCCAGCAGATGTCCAGCTACTCATGGTATCCGTTTCAGATTGTCGGGGCCACTACTACGTATCTCATTATCCTCATCCAGTTTCACATGAGCGAGAGCAGCCTGAACAGCGGCTCGGCCGGCGGATAGAAATTGATATCATAGTAGTCTGTGTGCTAGTCATCTCCGTACATTTGATCTGAAATAATAAATAAACTCATGTAATATTCCAGTAGCCCATTAGAACGGCTGTACACAAATGTCAGTTGAATCTATTTTCAAAACTATTCATGTACAAAACGAATAAGTAAGTAGAACTCATTTATACACCTTTCACACCTGTCCAAGATTGTTGATCGCCATCGCGATCTAGACTGGACCTATTTCGAGTTACAATTTAAAAGCACAACATGGAATGTCAGGGCAAAGTCCCTGGTAAGGTACCCACAACTGACGACGAAAAGACCCGAATAAACTCACCCACGACAACGGCAACACCATCGATCGATGAACTCAGCAGTGACGAGGAACTCTTTGAATTTATACGCGAAGCCCCCATTGGGGACAGACACGAGCCGACATCCAGTGTCAGTGAGCAAACCCTCACTATGACAGACAGCGAGGAGCCAACGGCAAGCTCCTCTCTCACCCATCCCTCGGTCGATGCCCCAA